AGGTGGGCCGCGGGGGCCTGCGACGAAGCTGGCGCAGAGTTCTCGGAGCCGGAAAGAACTTAAGCTTACATGCCTATGCCTGCTTGTTGGATCGTGCATGGATCATCGAATGGCCAGATCATGCTTCGGGCTTGCAGGGGGGGATACTGTAGTTCTATAGCAAGGGTTCTTAGAGGATTGCTATAAGAGTCACGATAAGCATTCGCGCCTGCGCCTCTCGGTTCAGCTGCACGCCGGGCACGAAGGCCTCACTGCACAGCCAGGCGGCCGAAGCCGCTGCCGCAACCACTGTCAGGGGCTTGGCCTCAAAGGACAATTCCCAGAGAGCTTCAAACTCCATAAGTTCCATAAGGAATGAAGCTCGGCCTACACAGGGGGTTCTTCATATTATGCTGCAAGGTAGCATGTCTTAGCTCTCCGGGTTGAGCTGCAGGACGGCAGCAGACAGATACATCAAAGAGAATGCATTGAGCAGTTTGGTACCCACGCGACCCGAGGAAATTCACCGGCCAGACACCTCCTGCTGCTCCTCCACCTACTGTGCACTGCATGCTACTGCATGCTACTGCATGCTACTGCATGCCACTGCTACTACTGCTACCTCTGAGTTGCCCAGAAATCCTGCGTGCAGCTGGGAGTCCGCCATGGTGTCTTCGGAAGGTCCTTTTCTTCGGGCTCCACCTCCTGACCTCCTGGCTCCTCTTGAGCCGCGGCTGCCGTTGAGGAACGCATCGGGTTTTCTATGGGGTATAGGGCTTAGGGGCCCTACATGATTCAGTAGCGTGCACACCGCCCCTCCATCTTGTGAGCAGCTGCTGGAGCTGCTGTTGCCACTGCTATCGTTGCGAATCACCCTCGCCACTGAAAACGAAAGAAGAAGTGTCAATCGTGAAGAGGCTTGCCAGCACGGGCGGAAGAGGTGATCAAATGAATCAAATGGACCTTCCTTTTCTATCCTGCCATCGCCTGAGCGTTACAGCGCACACTCCGGCAGTTCGGCTGTACAGAAAAAGCGTTCCACTCGATGGGGCGCCGCCTTGCCCTTGGCCATCCACAGATGCCTGGTGGGAGCCCTTTTGGGTTTCGGATTTTCGGATCACTTCACCCAAGCCCGGCATGTGAAGCTGCTGGGTGCTTTCGTGGCTTACTTGCTTGTCCAGCTAAACGTCTGATAGGGTGGGAGGGTACTACCTCGGATTAGAGTTTAGCAGCAGCAGACCCACTAACACATACGGCCACATGGGACATTGCACTCCGTGCCGGACTGCGTCCCAAAAATTAGCCGAGTTTGTGAATGCGGCCGCCTACAAAACATCCGGAATCAATGCAAGTAGTAAACTTGGCACAGAAACCACTGCCGGATTTCCCAGTTGAAGAAGAGCTTCGGATTCAAACGGGTTGCGTGTGCTGCTTGTAACCTCGGGAGGACGTGTGGCCCAGACAAAGAATTCAAGAACCCAACACAGCGAATTAGAGTGTACCGGTCTAGGGCCTACTAGGGCTGCCAGGGTTTAGGGTTTAGGATTTAGGGTTTAGGGGTTGCGTTAGATAAGGACTGGAGTGAAAGTGCCAAGCTACAACTATTAGCATGAGGTTCGTCGCTTCGGGCGGCAGTTCCATGACTAAGGATTTCAAGCTTGCAGCCTTCATGATTTCACATAGGAGCCTTGATAATTAGAGTAGGGTTTTTGGGGCCCCTAAAACTATAATGCTACAAGTAGTAAGGAACCGCCAAAATAGTATAGGTCATTATTAAGGCCCCTACATTAGGGTGACCCTAAACCCTAAACCCTAAACCCTAAGCATCGGGTCTTGTGTTCGGCTCTTGGACCTGTGGGAGTCAGAGTGCTGCAGGATGCGAGGGACCCCGGCCTCTCTACGGCAGCCACATGGAGGAGCCGGTGGTGCCAAAGAAGGCGTTCCTGAAAGGGTTTAGGGTTTAGGGTTTAGGGGTTTAGGGTTTAGGGTTTAGGGTTTAGGGTTTAGGGTTCAATGAGCAAGGCTAGTGGCTAATCCCTCGTCCTGAACTATCAGTCCTACACCCTAAACCCTAGGCCCTACTACGCCCTAAACACTAAGCCGTGATTTATCCGCTTCGAACCCGAAAAGTCCATATCGCCTCGCGAAGGCAGGGCTCAGTTCAGGAACAATACCAATGACCTCGTTACGTCGTCATAGGTACTGTACTATACTGAACTTAGACCCCTAGCAAAAATTATAATTTTAGCTGCTTCTTAGGGTTTATAGTAGCCAAAGATTGAAAATTATTTCTAAGTACCCCAGAGTGTATAGTATACATAACCAGCATAAGACTCAGAAGAAGAAGAAGAAGAAGCAGAAGAGCAGTAATATTGATAATCTAGTTACGCTGACAATAACACAGACACACACGATGATCGTATGGATGATTTACTGAAACGAATTTACAGTCGCAGCAGTGACGCTAAGAAGGAGAAGAACACGACGATAAGCAACCATAAGAAACAGACTCATGTTGACAGAATATTCGCAGTCGGAGCTCCTTTCTTCCCTTGGCCCTAAGCCTTAAAACCGAAAAGAGGTCAAACGTCGATGAAAGGGTGTCCGCACGAGCTCTGACAGGCAAGCTCGGACGCCTTCACGAAAAAAGCGTGGCGACCATAGTTAACGATGATACTGATAGCAAGGATATTACTACGAATAAATTTTAATGATAGAAATAATGAACGACAGAATAATAATCGTAAACATCATCATCGTAGCCATCGGAACCCCTGACAATTCTGCGCAGATGAAAAGAAAACAGCTCAAATCTCCAACCCTTCCAAACCCGGCGCTTGCTCAAAGCCAAGTCTCTGGGCCACCATGCCGGTGATGGCCATCATCGCCTGGGATGGTGGAGGTTTTAAGGTTTCGACGGTTGGAAGTTGCGGACTGTCGTTGAGGCTGATGGCTTACGCACGGAGGTGTTGAGGGCAGGATCTGACTGAGGAAACCACGTCGAGCCGTGCCACAAGCACACAAGCCTCAGGCCGAAGGTAGGGCATGACAGGACCCAAGTCCCTATATTAATCCTTTTAACCCCAAACCCTCTCAAGCCTCAAACCTCTGGCCCTATAGAGTAGGTATGAACCTTTACATGACCCTTAAGCCCCAATTACCCCCCCCCCCTCCCCCACAAACCCTAAGTCAAAACCCTGAACCCTGAACCCTAAACCGTAAACCCTAAACCCCCAAGCCCAAAACCACGTAGCCATGGCACGAGCCGGCCGTTGTTCAGCTCGGCATCCAGGGACCGCTGATTGGCCGCAGGATCCTTGGGTTTCTTTGTTGTTTAGGGTTCAGGGGTGTAGGG